GTTAACCTCTTGCGCTGGCAACTGGTTTGCGGACCATAACGAGTGACCAAATTGTGCACAATAATTCGTCACTTTCTTTTGGAATTCATCGGTATATAATATATCACTGGATAGAAATTATTACTAAGAAGTAATAAATTTATTGTTTGTTTTGCCTGGATTATGTTTAAATATATTTAATTAATATATTTATAATATATATTATATATTTAATATATCGTATGAAATATTTATTAATATATTTTTAATAATATATTTAATAAATACATTTAATTATTTATTTAAACTGAGAAAATTGCAATTTTGGGACAAAAAATTCTCGATATGCGTGGCACGTCGTTCCAGCACAAAAAGTTGAGCGCTGTTCGTGCACCGGTTACATTTGAAGGATAACTTAATTAGCATTCGACTGTCAAATCACTACTCCGTCTTTGCAAAAAATTAAATCATCCCCTTTTATTTTCTATCTAATTTTCGACGCTAATGTTTCCATATCACACTTCATTATTATTCTGTCGCCTTTTTTCCTGTCTTCTAATCTTCAGTTTCCTTAAATTTCTGAATTTCCCCAACAAATTTCCTTCCATGCCCTTTCGTTTACAAGACACGCCGGAAACTTATGAACGGAATATTGGAAGCTTCGAAAGCGCGTTGCATTCGCCGAGTTACTGCGAGGTTCCCCGTAAGGTCGAGGCTCGTAAATTGCAAAGTCTGGAAATACAGAAAAATTATGTAGATCTCGCAGTTACGAAGTTCCTTAACGCGTTTTACCAACGGCTAGTTCTCGCTGATTTACACGAAACTTCGCGATAGACGCGATGGGGGAAACACTGTTTGCCTCGCCCTCGAAACAGAATGCGAGATGTTCTGAAAATTTACGCGAAAGCGTAAGTGTAAGCGTAAATATTGAGAATTCCTTGAATTTTAATCCCATTGCTCAATGTTCGATAAAATGTTTGAAAGAAGATCGTTAATACGGCAAGTTTTAAGATCTCTGTAAGTTGTAAAGGAGAGACTTCGTTCTTCGAAAACTACGAAGCTGCGGAAACGAAAATTGAATTATCAATGTGCGTGAAGATGTTCGAATTTTTACAGTCGTTGAGAAAGCAAAAGAAGTGTATTCCCTTTCATTGCACGAAGCGAAATCATCTTTAGAGACAACGAACTCAACAATTTTTCATCGTCGTTAGTTCAGTCTTGTACTTCACCCTTTGCACTCGATTTGTTTCCAATATCTTGTTGCACTTGTATTTATTTCAAATTACATAAACTAACATACAACGGTAAAATTCAATATATTTTTTTTATTTATTCGTTTAATTGTTACTATCGTTATATAATCTATTTTCTCGTAATTTTTTAAAGTGTTTGATGA